ACCCGAAACGGAGCCCGCGATAGCAGCCACCATTGCTGCGGGCGGCAGGACAGTCGCTTATTGTCACGGCTCCCGATTCCACCAAATAACTATGGAATTGATTAGTCTCGAGGGATGTGGCAAAGCTTGATTAATTTTGTAATTATTATCTCAAGGCTTTTCCCTCCACAAGGCCTGATCCAAAGCCCCTTGGAGGTGCTGGAGCAGCTCCAAGCCTGGTGCCGTTGGCTGCTCCCCGGCAGCGGCGGTGCCGGCTCCTTCCAGGAATGGGTAAATTCAGAGCTGCCAAGGCTGGAATTTCTCTTCTCGCACCGACAAGGTGGCTGCCCGGCCTGGCAAGGCCACAGGGTCTCTGGAGGGAACCTGAGCACCAAGGAGCATCTCCAGTAGCATCGTGGACCCCAACCAGTGCGTCCATGTGTCCCGGCTCCGGCAGGGAGCCGCTGTGGGCCCTTGTCAGCACGGGGAAAAGGCTTTTAGTGGCTTGGCTTGATAAATGAAAACAAATAAAGTTGATAGACAAGTGGACAGCTTTATGATAGCTTCACACTGACAGCAAGAAAGATTGGTTGTCGGTGCCTTGATAGAGAAATATCTCGATGGGAGTCGGATAAAGAGATGGATAACCTTGGTGACAGAAGGGTGGCTGCGAGGAGGCTGCTCGACCGGCATTATTCCAGATACTCCTGCCTTTATTTGTTTTGCCTTTCCGAGGAAGGGAGACGCAGAACACCCCAGTTCATTGAGTTTTTCAAAATAGATTTGCTAAATAAATAATGCTGGTGATGCATATTTTATTTCTATCCCACCTCTCTGCATGGAGCACAAGGTGTTCTACAAGGCAGCACAGGCTCCCTCTCCGGGCTAACAAACCCCAAACTAAAGCACATCAGATTGAGACGGATTTACAGGAGATTTAGAGGCTGAAACATAACTACAGGCAGTGCGCGGGGCTGGCGGAAGCGCGTGGCAACAGCGTCCAACACTCATTGATCTTAATGGGCACCTTGTTGCTCTCTGGAATCTGCCTGGATGCAGATTTGTATCCAGAGGCATTGCAGACGCTGGGAAGTGGCTTGCGCGGTGGCGACGGGTGCACAGGACACGGGTGCGCAGGGTGATGCTCTGGGTGCCGACTCACACCTCGAATGTGGAATCCCCGTGGGTTTGGTGTGTTTTCCCCAGCCCCTTGAGCGGGCAAGCGTGGCCCAGAGCGGGAGCCACAGTGCATGAGGGGCTGGACCTGCAGTGCAAAGGACCACGGAGCCACAGTGCACAAGGACTAGGGAGTCACGGCGCACGAGGACTGTGGATTCGTGGTGCACAAGGACTACGGATCTTCGGTGCATGAGGACTATGGATCTGCAGTGCATGAGGACCAGGGAACCCAAGCTGCACAAGGACCATAGATCCGCAGTGCGTGAGGACCCTGGATCTGCAGTGCACGAGGATCATGGATCTGCGGTACATGAGGACCATGGATCCACGGTGCATGAGGACCATGGATCCCGGTACATGAGGACCATGGATCCCAGTGCATGAGGACCATGGATCTGTGGTGCACGAGCACCATGGATCTGCGGTGCATGAGGATCACGGATCTGTGGTACATGAGGACCATGGATCCACGGTGCACGAGGACCATGGATCTGCGGTGCACGAGGATCAGAGAACCACAGTGCATGAGGACCATGGATCTGCAGGGCACAAGGACCATGGATCTGTGGTACATGAGGACCATGGATCCCCGGTGCATGAGTACCAGGGAACCACGGTACATGAGGACCATGGATCTGCAGTGCATGAGGATCAGTGATCTGTGGTACATGAGGACCATGGATCCACGGTGCACGAGGACCATGGATCTGCGGTGCACGAGGATCAGAGAACCACAGTGCATGAGGACCATGGATCTGCAGGGCACAAGGACCATGGATCTGTGGTACATGAGGACCATGGATCCACGGTGCATGAGTACCAGGGAACCACGGTACATGAGGACCATGGATCTGCAGTGCATGAGGATCATGGATCTGCAGTGCATGAGGACTGGGGAACCACGGTGCATGAGGACCATGGATCCACGGTGCATGAGGACCATGGATCCACGGTGCATGAGGACCATGGATCCGCGGTGCATGAGGACCATGGATCTGCAGTGCATGAGGATCAGGGAACCACGGTGCATGAGGACCATGGATCTGCAGTGCCCAAGGCCCATGGATCTGCGGTGCACAAGGACCAGGGAACTGCAGCGCACAAGGATTCGGAGCTGCTGGTGCACAAGGAACAAGAGCTCCGTCACGGAGCCAGAGCCACAGCCAGCGCGCGGGCCTGGCCTGCGAGAGCACAAGGACAAAGGGGCTGCGGTGGCTGCCGGCGAGGGCACGTTGTGGTCGCGGGGGCTGCGAAGGCGCCACACGATGAACAGCAGCGTTTCCCATGAGCGCAGCAAAAGAAAGCGATGCGTTAATGCAAATTATTGTTTAATTTTATCCCTGGATCGGAGGTGAAAAAAATGTATATGCATGGTGGAGAGGAGCGTGCTCCTCCCGCATCCGTGTCTGCCGCGCTCCCCAGCGCCTGGCCCCGGGGGGGTCTGTCTCCGTCCCTGCCCTTGCCGTGCGCTGTTGCTCCAGCAGCTTGCAGGAATATTCCCATTTCCAACCCAGTCTTGACAAAGCAGAACCACCCCCCCCCGCCTT